GAACGTATGTCCAGCGGGACGCACTACCGTGTACCTCGTCGCTGGCAATCCTGCTTCTGCAATGCCTGGCCGTGTTTCTTCATTAGCAAGGTTGTAGCGGTATAGACTTCACAACGGGACATTCGTCAACTACTAGCATTTCATTTCAAACGGTCTTGGGTTTTCTTTTGTGTTTCCGTGTATTCACTTCACTGATGAAGGCTAGTCAAAAGAACGAGCGAAGCTGTGCAGAACGATCTGTGTAGATCTACGCATTCACCAACAGACCAATATCTTGAAACTGAGGTCAAAATCACTAGCATTTTACGAGGAGTCATTTTTTGTATCGTAAATCACAGTGTCGACAGTTCCCGTGCACTGCGTTGGTCGATTTTTAGTGCAGTTTAAGCCGCTCGATCGCGCAAGTGTTTTTTCACTAGTTTAAGTGACTAGTCAACTATCTAGTGTAGCTAACAGGTAAAAAATACCATAACAATAATCAAACTCATCGAAAACCTATCATCTGTTCTTTTGTACTCATCGTCTGTGTACATTTGCCGGGAAAAGAAATGTCACCTGTTCGCAGATTTCAACTAGTAAGGGGATTTCCCGTTCGCAACCTAGGCTAGGTTAGTAACTAACCCCATTTCAAATGTCACCTTGCCGGGTCAAGTAATACTCCTAGTAAGCGAATGAAAACTAAACGGTATCCTCCATTATTAAAAGAAAATCAAGATATGAAAACTTAGGGATCAATCGACCAAACTGATGGTCGATGGGTTGAGTCGATGGATTCGCACTGCTGACGAGAACCAACCAGGTCGGAACAACTGTCCAGTACTTCCTAGCCTTTCAGTTCACGCTTCATTTGCTCTGTGCACCACGAATTCACTTTGAAGTTGAATCGAATCCTCCATTACTCGCACGAAAGTGATGGTGTCATAGTACTATATCCTTGACACTGACTACCAGACCAGGACAATGTACGAGTGTCTGATCGACCCACTATCGTAAAATCGCACGAATCTTGTTTTTTCCCAGCTGGCTGTTTTCGCGTTGAACGATCTCGCTAACTACGTCGGAGATTGAACTGCGAAAGAAAGCACGAATATTATGGAAAAATGCATCTTTATTTAACAAAAGTTCTTCACTATGTTTTCCATTCTGTTGCTTGCTTAACAAAATCCGGTGAAGATAGTTTTCTTCCACCTTCAGAAGGAATACTTTGGAATACTTTCGCACTGCGCCACAATGCTCTATTTCCGACTTAGTTAGCGAGATCATTCAATGCGAACAGCCATCTGGGAAAGAACGAGATTTTTGCGTGGGCTTACATTAGGGGATATTGTTGTCCGTTATTAAGAAAATTTCAAAGTTTCATTATGATTATCCGTTAACCGAACTCGCCTAGAAAAATAGTGCGTGCATCTCGACGAGTCAAGCGTTGGCCAAGTGTCGTCATTGCTTGAGCATTTTCCATTCCGAATTTTCCACACGGCGCATCGCTCCACAACTGATTCTCATGGGGGGATTCTCTACCAACATTTAGGTAGCATCGGATTCGGAACCTATCCTCCTCCTGTGCCGGCCCGAAAATCACACGACCAATCGGGTTGATTTATCGATCGGTCGAATGGTTCAGCCGCAACAAGGGACCTGGTGCTTGCCCAGTTAACCCGAGCGAGAAACCGCACCTTGTTTACCGTGAGTTTCAGGCCCAGTGAACTTGTACTGTGAAGCAGGAGTGCCATCAGCACATGGATGGCCTGGACGTAACAACAAGAGCATTACAAAACCTACAAGCCGGCAATCAGACAGTCTCGTGTTGGACTGAGCTATTTTAAGCGACGCAGATCGCGGAATATGATCCAATCAGATCGCAATAAGGGTCAGAGGGAATTTACTTGTTAAAGATCACTGGCGAGAGGACGAGACGATCGTAAACGATGGAGCAATCGCACTGTATTGTTGGAAAATGTATTTGTGAAGAGTCAGCACTCCAGGGATGAGGCCAGCCAAGCGCTTACGCATTCCAGTTTCTGCACATTGGGCCATGGACCAACAGTATCGATCAGTCAACAGGCATACAGTGTATTTAGAAAGTGTATGACTCGAAGAACGAGAACAGTCATTGGTTGTTATTCTTTTGACCAATGATATTTCCATTTGTATATTATTTAATCCAATTGATTTTTCTCAATAAACGAGCCGCTCTTTCTGTGTTCTTTTTCCTGCCTCTCGTTGACAGGATATACCAGTACGATTCTGTGCTTCAGTTGCTACCGTATTCGTGATCCGTAACTCGTATCTACTTCGATTACTACACTTCTGTCCCTTTAACGAATACGCGTCAAAATGCAATAAAACCTGGATGGATTAAAAGTAGTTGGGCATTAGAGTACAAGATTGCAATCAGCAATGCGTTCCGTGCATGTGACTGCGAAACTGGATCAAGGTTGCCGTTTTGATCGAACAACAAACTTGAACAAATCTCCGCTCGGTTCCGAGGCCGTGTTTCGTCTGTAACTATTGTAGAAAATGTCAAAGTATTAAGACTGGCGAAAGAATGCAGTACAAGGGAACGGAATTGAACCTGGAGTGTGGAAGAAGCTGGGAATTCCGCAAAAACCTATGTGTAGGGTTATATTGAAAATTTCCAAACTACACAATAATGATAGTGATAACTATAATGATAAACTATGCCAATAACACATGACATTTTATGTACAACCGAGTGATTATTGGTTTTCTGCATTCAAAATGCAAACGATACCGCTTGTTCGTTTGAGTATGACCGGGCTGACGTAGTGGTTAGATGACACCAATTTGATAACGCGACTGAGTCGCATTTCTGCTCAATTATCCACATTTCGTGGGTGTGGTTTCTGTAG